CGCCGCCGCCCGGCCGTCACCTCCCTGGAGCCTATAGAAATCTTTTGGTGGGCCGCCCCGGCCTTTCGTTTAAATCCCGCTTCCTCCCCCCCAGCCCCCGCCCGCCCCCCGCGGGACCCCCGGCCCGCGCCCGCGGCTCCGCGCTGGGCGGCGGCGTCCTCCCGCAGCCACCCAGCTTCCCGGGGGAGGAGCAGCGCATCGCGCAAGCATCCGGGAGCGGCGGAGGGGGCGGGAGGAAGGGCGAGAGGAGGAAGCGGGATTTAAACGAAAGGCGGTGACGCCACACAAAAGATTTCTATAGGCTCCAGGGAGGTGACGGCCGGGCGGCGGCGGCGGCGAGCCCGGGGGCGAGGCGCGGACGCGGGGAGGAGGCGGCTCGGGCGGCCCCGGCGGGCGGCGGCGCACCCACGGCCCGCGCCGAGGAGCAGCCGCGCGGGGAAAGGAGGAGGGCGTCTTCCCCTCCGCCTCTCGGCCCCCGCCCTTCCTTTCAGTTTCTCCCGGCTCGCTCGGAAGTTGGAGGTTGACGAAGATGGCAGGAGCCGGGGCCCGGGCGGGTGGCCGCCGCGCCGCGGGGACCTTCTGAGTTGGCGCGGCCGCCGGGGAGACGCGCGCCGGGCGTCCGATGCGCAGGGCCCGGGGTCTCGGGAGAGCTCAGCCGCCGCGGGCCCCAGGCGACCAGGCGACCGGGATGGACTCGCGCCCACAGCCAGCGGCCGGCCGCGGGGCGCGCGGTCGGGGAGGGCGTGCCGCCTCGGCGCCGGGCCGCGCGCTGTGAGCCGGCGAGGCGGGAAGGGGCGGCCGCGGTGGCCGGCGCGCCCGGGCGTGGCGGGCGGGCGAGCGCGCGAGCGGGGCGGCCGCTGTGCGCAATCAGTGCAGCCTCCCGCCCGACTCTGACTCGGCGCGGCCGCGCCAGCAGCGGCCACACCCTCGGCTCTGCCGCCGCCGGCGCCGCTTCCCGAGAGCGGGGGGCAGGAGATGCGCGCCCCGCGGCGCCAACCCCGGCCGCCGTCGCGGGCAAGTGCCGCCCGGCGGGGTCAGGGCGCCTGAAGCCCACGTGCGCCGCCGAGCCCGAGGTGGCTGACAGCAGAGCCCGCCCGAGCCGCCGCCCGCGCTCCTCCCCGAGGAAGGGATTTTGATTTCAAAGAAAGGAAGGAAGGAAGGACAACCCCCAGCTTCCCCCCCCACTCCCGCCCTCCCGCTCCGGCCGGGCCGGGCCATGCCCAGGAAGGCGGCGGCGGCGTTGGCGGCGACGGCGGCCCAGCAGAAGGGACTTTCCTGGCAGCCCGGCGGCGAGGAGCGCGCTCCGTGAGTTTGCTGTGCCCGGTTCATGGTTCCTGCAAGCCCTCCAGGAGGCCGAACGCTGCAGCCCCTCCCCGCGTCCCGAAGAGCCTCCTGCGTCCTCTGGCCCCCGGGCCAGCCCCGCGCCGCCGCCGCTCGGGCTCCGGCAGCCGCAGCAGCCCAGTGCCCTCCGCCCGGCGCGGTGGATGGCATGATGGTGCGGGGAAGGCACCGCGGCCCTGGCCAGCTGAGTCGCGACGGCCGCGGGGGCGGCGGCAGTGGCAGCGGCGGCGGTAGCGGGCTCCCCAGCGGCATGCCAGTGCCCCCCGGGCGCGATGGCTAGCGGCAGCGCTGGGAAGCCCACTGGCGAGGCGGCTTCTCCGGCTCCTGCGAGCGCCGTCGGGGGGGCCTGCTCGCAGCCGCGGAAGAGGCTGGTGTCCGTCTGCGACCACTGCAAAGGCAAGATGCAGCTGGTGGCCGACCTGCTGCTGCTGTCGAGCGAGGCGCGGCCCGTGCTCTTCGAGGGCCCCGCCTCCTCCTGCGCCGGGGCCGAGTCCTTCGAGCAGTGCCGGGACACGATCATCGCGCGCACCAAGGGGCTCTCCATCCTCACCCACGACGTGCAGAGCCAGCTCAACATGGGCCGCTTCGGGGAGGCCGGGGACAGCCTGGTGGAGCTGGGCGACCTGGTGGTGTCGCTGACGGAGTGCTCCGCCCACGCGGCCTACCTGGCGGCGGTGGCCACGCCGGGCGCGCAGCCCGCGCAGCCGGGCCTGGTGGACCGCTACCGCGTGACGCGCTGCCGCCACGAGGTGGAGCAGGGCTGCGCCGTGCTGCGCGCCACCCCGCTGGCCGACATGACGCCGCAGCTGCTGCTGGAGGTGTCGCAGGGCCTGTCGCGCAACCTCAAGTTCCTGACGGACGCGTGCGCCCTGGCCAGCGACAAGTCCCGGGACCGCTTCTCCCGCGAGCAGTTCAAGCTGGGCGTCAAGTGCATGAGCACGAGCGCGTCGGCGCTGCTGGCCTGCGTGCGCGAGGTGAAGGCGGCGCCCAGCGAGCTGGCCCGCAGCCGCTGCGCGCTCTTCAGCGGGCCGCTGGTGCAGGCCGTGAGCGCCCTGGTGGGCTTCGCCACCGAGCCGCAGTTCCTGGGTCGCGCGGCGGCCGTGAGCGCCGAGGGCAAGGCGGTGCAGACCGCCATCCTGGGCGGCGCCATGAGCGTGGTGTCGGCCTGCGTGCTCCTGACCCAGTGCCTCAGGGATCTGGCGCAGCACCCCGACGGGGGCGCCAAGATGTCGGACCACAGGGAGAGGCTGAGGAACTCGGCCTGCGCCGTGTCTGAAGGCTGCACCCTGCTATCTCAGGCTTTACGGGAGAGGTCTTCGCCCAGGACTTTACCGCCAGTGAATTCCAATTCTGTGAATTAGCACCCGCCCCCTTCTTTCTTCCACCCCAGACTAGAGGAAGATACTTACTGTCTGCCCCTCTCCATGTATACCAAAGAAATCCCAGGGGAAGCCCCCTCCATGTCGGATGCTCCAGAGGAACCTTCCAGGGAGGGGGGCCCTGCGCCCCGCCGACACGGGGGGGGGGGGGGGGGGGGGGGGAACCCACTGCCCACCTACGCACACCCAGCAGGGACCCGGAGGTGGCACCCAGCCCTGGCCCCTCTTCTGGAGTTCCTCCACTAAATTTTCTTACCAATTGGGCAGGAAGGAGGTCATGGGTTTCTTTCTTTTTGGGTCCTTTTTTTTTTTCTTTCTGTTTTCTGTTTTTTCCTAATTAAAAGAAAGGTTACCTCAGTTTTCACTCCTTAGACATGGATGTAGCTACCTTTTTTTTTTTTTTTTTTTTTTTTTTTTTTTTTTTTAAGCAATCGTGTTGGATTAGGCGTATACTTACTTGGTGTGGAAAGAGTATGACTTTGCCATGTGATTTGCAAATGGGGGGAAAAGCTACTGTGAGTGTGTGTTTTATTTTTTAATTTACACTATAGAGTGATTTCCCCCTGCCCTTGCCCACCCCTCACCCCCATGTCAAGTTTTTACCTTGCATGTACTGGAGTATTTATTTCATTTATTAAAATGTTATGTTTCTCAGATGGCCCTTTGCAATTATTGTTGATTTTCAATAATTGTAATAATGTTGCATGCTGCATGGGTCTCTGGAGGGGTTAGCCGTGTCTCCCCGCCTTAGCCCTGTCTCCCTTTTTCCTCGAGGGTGATCTCTCTGAGCAGCCTAGAATTGGAGAACACTGTCCTTGGAGAGGTGCCAGGGAATGATTGGCAGTAGGTACTGTGCCGGGGGGTGGGTTGGGCTGGCAAGTGGGGTTTGGTCTTGCCTCTGGTTTCTCCTGGAAAGTACTTCAGCCCCCTTCTCTGTGTCCCACCACTGTCTGTCCTGATGGACAGTGGGTAAGGCTGACCGAGGTCTGATTCCTATTCTGCCTGTCTCTTTCAGATTCGGGCCCTTCCTAATCCTGCGTGGTACCCCACCCTTGCCAGGTCAGGGAGCTGGTTGCTGGAGCTGGAAACTGGGCTATAGCAAGGACCTTCAGGAGACTTTGCAGCCTCTTTTATGTAGGCAGGTCTCTTCACACAGGACCCAGTCACTCATGATTGTAGGAAGAAGTTCACAGGGTTCCAGACTGTTTAAGAGAGGGAGAGGTGTTCTGGAAAATGGTAGGAACTTTCTAGAGCCACAGCGTAGTTGCAGGCAAAGGGCTGATTTCCGTGACCTTGATCTAAGATCTGCCCTGGTTGGTTTCATATTGGAAGAAGGCTTTGTTAACTGACGTTTGGAGTTATTTTAAGGGAGTTTGTCCTTTCGGCAGACAGTTAAAAAAGAAAATTGGGGAGAGAGAAGTGTATAATTTTACTGAAATTTGTTAAGTTTGGGACGTTTTCCCGCTGAAAGTATAACATTCTTCTTCACAGGGCTTGCCCTGGGAGAGCCACATGGATAAAAACCCAAACACTCTTTAAATTTGCTCAGTTTACAATTCTTCCGATCTATTGTGCTTGAACCTTGGTAATTCCTGAGCCTCTGAGAAGAAAGCGTTTTTCACTGTAACATGTAAGAAAGTCCTATTGACTGTTTTACTCGAATAGCTTTGTTTATTACAAGAACATCGTATTCAACATGTAAAGCATCTTTAAACCTGTGTTGGGTAAGAGTAGGATCGGGGAGCTGCTCTGAATTTGATGTTTGGAAAAGTCTTAAAGCAGTAGTGTACATACATTTCTTAGAAACAGTCAAGGGAGCTGTTGTTTCTCTCCTAGGGCCTGGTAGATTAAAAAAAAAAGCAAATTTTTAATTTAAAAAATGACAATGACCTTGAGAATGTTTCTTCCTCTACCCCCCAACCCTTTAGTCTGGGTCAGTCAGATTCGGAAGCTATTTGGGGAGAGGAAACGTAACCCACGTGCCGATGACCATCGTGCTTGCATTTAGGATTTGTTCTTTTTATTTATTGGATATACATAAGTAATTATACAGAGAGTTTCTAATTATAGATGTTCCTTTAGCCTACCTAGATCACAAAAAGTAAACCGAAAGGAACAAAGCAAAATAAAATTAGGGCCAGGAATCTGTAAATTTGGTGTTTGATTAAGATGAAAATGATTGCCAATTGTTCCTTGGACTCATTCCTTCTGCAGAAGCAATTTTCAGGACAGTGCAGGCCAAAAAAAAAAAAAAAGAAAAGAAAGAAAGAGAAAAAAATTCGTTTTCCTTGTCTACTTGGATGAAGTTAACTAGCTTGCCACCAAATTAATTTTGAAACTTTTTGTCTTAGCCAACCGATCGTGGCTCTTTACACTTCTGTATATTAAAGATACTGACTTGTAATATTCAAACTCTCTGTTCTCTGAAGTTGTTAAAAGTTTCGGTGGTGTTTTAACATCCTTCTCCCCCTGCCTCTGTCTCGAAGATTAAGGTAGGATTTTTCTTCCAGCAGGTGGCTTGGAATGGATTCTTGTACTTTGTTCAGCAGGGCGGAGGAGGCCAGATTGAGGCGCGTATAGCATTTCTGTGTATCTACGTTGCTTCGCTAGGCAAGGGGTCTGTGCCCAGGCCTTTGACATTTTATTTGACATTTTAGCTTCTAGTGCACCAGCTGGCTAAACTTGTTTTTGAAATAGCCCTGATTTTTAAAAAGGAGCATCTCAGACCTATTTCACGGGGCTTAATAAGGTCAGCAGAGATACTAAGTTCCAGGAATAAAATCAGAGTGGCCTGATTGTTTGTTTGTTTGTTTGTTTGTTTTTAAATTAAACCACATTAAAGTTAATTTAAGACCTCAATCTTTAAGCTCTTTTGATTTCCTAGGGCGAGTTTTCTTACTTAGGCTTAATGGGCACCATCCTGACTGGGGATGTCGAAAACCTTCCTTTGGTCAGGAGAGAAGGAAATCATTATGGCTAAGTTGTAGAACAAAAGCCATTATTTATGACAGTGAACCCAAGTAAATGGGACAAAAGGCTTTCAAACACAAGACTTAACTAGAAAAGAGCTCTGTCTTTCCTCAGCTGTTTTAAACTTGGCCTTTTTCTCTTATTCGTTATGGGTTGATTTTGGGAGATGTAGAAGGTGTGAGTGTGTGTGTGTGTGTGTGTGTGTGTGTGTGTGTGTTCTTCCCTACCCCGTCCTCCTTGTCACCTGAGTTTTTATTTCTAATTTAGGGTCATGTTTCTCAAAAAAATCTAAAGACTGTGACTGTGGAACCATCAGTTACATCTGACTGGTTATTTTGTGAGCATTTTCTTTTTAAACCTGGCATAGGGAGCTAAAGCACTTGACAGTTTGAAACAGCTAATTTTAACAGAAACACCTGTTTTTCAGAATGAATGTGACTATGGTAACGTGCAGATCAGGCAGAGATTTTGAAAAACGTCCGCTGCCGCCCCTTCTGGGTTCTGCTTGGTACGGAGCTCGGAGTCGGGGGAGAACTCTGCAGCCTTCCCTATGCTTTCTGCCGTGGGACCACAGCTTGGTCCAGCACCATTTCTGGGTTTCCAGGGCGGACACAGACATTCGTGAGCACTCTTGGCAAATTCCTGTCTTGATTAAAAAACAATTTTTTTTTTTTTTTTTTTTTTTTGCTTGAGTATGTGTGAATTGAATTGGCCTGTTTTTACCTAAGCAGGTCTTTCTTTCTACGGTCCTTTGGGCAGGTGAGTTGTCTGTTTCCATTTTAGTGGTAGAGAAGGCTGACAGACTGGCTGTCCAGGTAGGATGGGGGAAAAGGGTGATACAGTGTCCTTGATAGGCATTGATTTCATTTAATGGTACAGCCCTTTAGGCCAGGGGCTGGCATGCCTGGGACATGTTGGGTTCTTGAAGTGAGCGCATGTACAAGATGCTTGCGGCAAGTATCTGTACACAAGGAGTAAATCGTTTCTGGAAGGGAAAGTGAGAACGGGTATTGGTTCGGCAAATCCTTGCTGGGGACCAGCAGTGTGTACCAGGTACTGTGCTGAGCCCTGGGGGCTGGGGACACAGCGACCTGTGAGCCTCGGTGTCTCCCCCTGCGTAGATTCCGGGCCCTATCCCAGGCCTGATCGATCAGAAACTCCGGGGGCAGAGCGGTCTGAATTTTGTCCAGCTGGGTGATGCTGAGGCACGGCTGCCCTGGAGAGCTGCTGGTTTCCTTTTCTTCCTGGCCGACGCCGGGAGACCCGAGTGCTTCTGTATCAGGCGGGAGCACCAGCATTTCCGCAACTTTCTTGTTTGCTCAGGTGTTTTTTTGTTTGTTTGTTTTTTTCTTCCCCTCCTGGATCTTTTGAGCCCTTTTCTTCAGATTGAGAAGATAATGTAGTCTCTCCTGCCAATTTGGAACGAGCAGGTTTTTCTTTTGCCTGGGTGCGTTGACAAGGACAGAGTCCGCCCCCTCCTCCAGCCCTCCTTTGAGATGAGCCGAAGTCACAGAGTAGTGGACCGGCCAGTTAGCTCTCCGTGCTCATGCATGTTGTTGTCTCTTGTCCTCAAACACGGGACGGACAGACACCCTTTCCTTCTCGGACTGTCCGAGAAAGAGCGCTTTGCTACTGAATTTCAAGGACTCGATTCAGAACCAATGAGGCAGGCAGACTTGTGGAATGACCAAGTCTACAAGACACTCAGGAAGTAGGTCTCTCACGGCCGTCATGCCCCGAGAATTGGGACGATCTCTCACAGCTTCCGTCCCCTCGAGGGAGCATCGCCCAGGAGCTGAGGGGATAGCGCAGTCTTGGCCCCAACCCAGACCTGCCGGGTGGGACTCTGCTCTTGGGCAAGGTCTCCAGGTGGTTTCTGGGCACATTAACTTCGAGAAGCACTGTTGCAGGAGACAAAGGTAGAGGCTGCGGGCTGTTCTTTACTGTGGGAGCTTAGACGGTTAGGGTTAGCACTTTCGTATGTGTTATGTAACTGGGTCCTCAGAGCAGCCTTGGGCAAGGTAGGCAGCTGTTACTGTGCGTGTCATGGAAGCGTTTGTGCTTCTGTTCTCCCGTCGTGAGAGTATGTATGTACGTATGTACGATGGATTCCTCCGACGTGTAAGGCTGTGACGGGCTCCATT